ATGGAAAACTTAATTACGAGATTTTCATTTAAAATTTGCCCTATAGAGAAATCTCATGGCCACTAGAATATCCTGGAAATTTCAGTGCAAACAAATGTATTCTCCTTGAGATATCAAGTATCCAATAAGAGTTTATATATTGGCAGACAAGTCATAGAATCAAGTTCTCTTAGATAAGTCGATATTTCAAGAAAAAATACATTCGTTTGCATCGCAAATTTTAGAATATTCTACTGACAATGTGAGTTGTTTATGGGACAAATTTCAGATGGAAATCTCGTAATAATAGTTGGGTCTGAGACTGAAAATCTATTAAAACGTTCATACCTTTGGCTTGATAATACATAAACCAGAACTCATTTAGGGTTTTCTCAGTTTCATTGAGTTCTGCTCGTAGCTAAAATATAGGGTTGAGCGCCATCTAACAGTTGAATAAGTTCTCTCTTTAGAAACATATTTTAGGAAGTCAAAAAACTGCTTTTTCCCATATAAAAACCTCGAAAAACTGAATTTCATGCTTAAAAACTCAAAACACACAAATTTTTGTGTTTTTCTCAAAATCAAATTTTTAAACGAAAAGTTGAAATTTTCTCCTATATGATACGGCCGCTTGCACTCAACATTTCTTTGTCTTATGAATACTTCGATCTAATTCGACTGTATTTTTTTTCTCTTCTTGAAACTATTTACTTTCGGACTTTTACATATTTTACAAAATTAGTACCATTCAGAAAAAAAGCTTTTCGATTGGTATTTTTTTTTTATAGTGGCTCAGTTAATTTAATTGTCATGAGTCTCAAGTACACACGTCTCTAGATAGTTTTGATCCTATCTGCCAAAGAAAAATTTTCAATCATCGACGGAAATATTCTGAAAGTTTCAAAAGTTTTTCACCAAGTTGTTCTTGAGAAAGTTCTGAAAGAGCAAAAATTGTTTTGAAAAATATAGAAATACTTACATCGAATTAATAATCGAATACTTGTATTTGTCATACCAACTGAATTTATAGCTGTACAACCAATTGAGTGATTATGTACATGTTTTGATAAGGGAATATTTATTATTGAACTTGTTAATGATGTTAAATCGATTGAATTAGCAAACCATCTAAAGAAATTTTTAAGATCAAATGATTTAAATAAAAAGCAAAAAAATAAGATAAAATAAGATTTTACTTAAATTGAGGTTCAGGATTACCATGAACAATACAACGAAATGTTGCTGTTGAATTAACAGTTAATGGATAACGATTTTGAGATTCAATACGAGCTTTTGGTTTATCTAAATTAAATTATTAATATTGACATTATCAATTAAGATTTACAAATTCTATGATTTATCTTTTAAGAAGTCGGTCTTATTAGAACTGTTAATTATTTCCAAAATAAAAAACAACAAATCTTCACAAAAATTTTATTCTTATGTTCAAACAAATATTTTTCGTCTCGAAATCATCTCAAAATACAGTTCAAATTTTCGATACATCTATCTGAAAACATCGCTCTCAATGGAAGAAATAAAAAGAACATCACTGCCTTTCAGCTACCTTGCAGTATAGAGTACTGGCTAGCGACACATTCAGTAGTCCAATATCTTCCCTACTAGCTGTAGCATTGGATAGAAAGTCAGCCTGACAGTCAGCATGCTATCGAACGGATAATCTGAGATAAACAGCCATCAATGATTTCTCCAGAATCATTTCATGACTGGTAGTATTGAGGTATGAACACCGTACCTTGTGGATATGTATCAAACAACGTAGCTACTCGTAAAAGAATGTTTCTAAATATCAAATCGCTTTTGAGTCGAATTTATGTACATTATATAGGTTCTAATGAGTTATGAATACTCTGAAAACATTTCGGATTAATAGCTTATTACTTCCGAGGTATTGTATTTTTTAGCGCAATGTCGTAATCTTCCTGAGGAACAACTGGAAAACTTAGTTTCGAATTTCGATTTGAAACTTTATAGAGAGACAGATTTTAACGAGAGTAGCGTACTGAATAAGTTTCAGATTTTTTAATTGCTTCTATCGTAAAATACGGCTATAGAAAAAATATGGCTTTTTTTCACGCTACTCGTATAAAACTGCAAATTTCAATGTCCTTATCTCACAAGAGACGCAATCGAAACATCTGAAACCTTCACAATTAACTACTTTCATTAAGATCTGTCTCTGTACAAAATTTCAAGTCGAAACTCAGTTTTTCTAGTATTCCTGAAGAGAATCCCGCCTCAAAAGTATTACTCAACAAGACTCAAAAACATATTTTTTGAAATTCTATACTACCTCAGTGAAACACTTCTTTTTTTATATCCCTCGCAATCTATGTATCACTGTTCATACGTTCATTCACAAAGAATTTCATGTTAGATTTGATTATCTTTTATTAATTGACTTACAATGAACTTGTATTTTTGCTACAACATCTACTTGAGAACGATTTGTAAATTCATAAATTTGTTTACATTTTATAATTATATTATTCCAACTACTATCTGGATCTTTAATTGTATAAATAAGTTTTGTTAAATTTTTATTTGTATTTATATCTAATTCATAAATATACATTAAAGATGATAATTCTGTTGTTAAAATTTGTTCATTTTTATATAAAATTAATTTTGATGCTGGTTTTGATGATGATGATAAACAAGTTATATTTGCTGATTGACCTTGTTTTAAGGGCATACTTGGTAATAATAATTTTGGTTGATCATTAGGTGGTGCTATTAATAAACAAGAGAAAGAAAAAATTAATAAAAATAAAAAATTTCAAGTATCTTTTTTTTTTTTTTTTAAATACCAATAACGGTTAAGCGAACACGATTTGAACGTGCTTCATGTGCATACATTGTTCTCTGTATTTGACATTGAAATATTCCTTCATCTTTATCTGATACATCAGTAATCGATAGATTATAATGATCTAAATAAAAAAAAAAAAGAAAAAACGATTCAATAAATCATTTATTTCATTCATATATCAAATAATCTAAGTATATTACATCATCAAATATACTTGTCGCTTTTAGAAAAATTACATAGTAAAAGGCAATCAAATATTGATTACATATAGACACCTGTTTTGTTTTATTTTCTATATGAATAGATATTTCCTGTTCTTTCTCTTTTTTTTTAAATTATTCTTCATAAGAAATAACAATAGACATAATGAATTAATTAGAAAAGAAGATGTAACCATTATCAACAAGACAAAAGAATAAAAATAGCAATTATGATTAAAAATAAATGCATACTTCCGGTTAAAAGATAAAAGTAATAGTATATTAGTTTTACATAAAATATTACTATATATGAGATTTATTCATACTATTAATTTTATTTCAATAGATTATATATAAAAAAAAGAAATATAATAATTAATTTTATACATACTAAGACGTTCATTGATAATTAATCGAAATTTTGGATAAGCTGTATATTGATAAATACTTATCAAACCATTATTTGTTATTTCATGACGAACTAATTGTGCTTTACCTAATGTACAAAAATCATTCCAACACCATGTTACAGTAGCATCAAATTGTTTTGAAACAATACAAGGAAATTGTATTGTTTCACCTGGATATGCATTAATATTATGTGGTTCAATAAGTATTTTTTGATTGATTCTTGGATGAACTAATTTGAAAAAAAAAAAAAAGAGCAATAAGAATAAAAATTATGTAAAAAAAAAAAATTTTATACCATGTTCAAATGTATTGACAATTAAAATTGTCAATGCAAATATAACATAAATGATGATAACTGATGATAGTTGTCGTCGATAAGTGGAAATCATGTTAAATAAACTAAAAGACAACGCATCGAAGAATGTATGAATAAATAAATGGCGATTGAAAGACGTCTTCTGATTAACATCTGTATATGTACGGAGATCCTATCATATGCATATACGCATTCGTTCAATATACAATTACTTTCATAGCGCAGATTTATGCATACATACATACATACATATATTATATCTTAAATTACGTCCTTCCAAAATATGTGTATATATAAGAAAAAAAAAAAAGAAAAGGAAAGAGACAAGACATGAACCTTGTGTATTCTACATTGATTTAATCGAATACCTTGATTTATAAATTTATCTATGTAAAAAAAAAAAAGAAGCGAAGATATTAATAATTTTTAATGATCGAATGTATTCGTATTCTAGGAGGATAATAAAAATCAAATGAGTACTATGACTGTCATTTGATGATTACGACAAACGATATATTTTAAACTACGAGCTTTTACTTACGTTCTTTTAATATAATGATAAAAGCTAATAGGATACAACACGCACGTTTATTGCCATGGGTAATGATCAGACTGAAAAAAGTTTTTATATATAGCTTATATAGAAGGATCTTACTTGTCGGAATTAAGTCGGATTGCTCTTATATTGAGAGTGAACTGATCCATAGTCATTAGTTGACTAAGTCAAATATGAGTATTGTTTAATATTATTGCACAAGATAATCTAGCAATTCTTTTATTAAGAATACTAGGAAGAATAATGTGCATACTTATATATGCAATACGCAACTTATTTAAACAGAATAATAAAGCAATGGAGATAGGAATCAGCAAGTTAATCATTCTTTCTCTCTCTCTCTCTCTCTCTTCGTACATCTATTGAGTGATTACCTCAATAAGTGTTGGTTCTTAGTAGAAGATAGACTCATATTATTGTTTACATAAAGCTAGATTTGCTTGTTACTCTTATAAACATATAGAAAGATAAAGTTAAATGAACACACATAACATTGGAGCATAGCACAATGCATATAGAGGGTGAAATGTCCATATAATAATGTCATTTGTTATATGTTGAAGGAGAAAAAAAAGAAAGAATAGAGAAAAAAAAAAAAACAAAAAAGAAAAGAAATGAAAAGGATTGCATGAGTGAAGTGGTACTAATTCTAAAAGTTATCCGTCACACCTTGTTGTTGAACAGATGTGTTCACAAAAAAAAAAAAAAAAAAAAATCAAAGTCATCCAAAAAAACAAAAGAAAATGTGTAGAAAAGCAATAGTCATTTCATTCACAATTAATTCACACTACCACATCTATATATGACTCTGATGTTTATATGTTCAAAACAGTCATACAACAGTCAACTGTTAATCGATAATCAAATCGAAGATGCTAATCAGTTTTAACCTTCTTAATACTTATTTTACATATGCATATATATATATATATATACTATGTACCAGATGTTGAATTTATCTCATTGAATATAAATTATTAAATCGAAAAATGGTTTTTTTTTTTTATCCATTCATTAAAATAAATCATCTCTTTGTCAAACAAATTTTTATTATAAAAAAAAAAAATGATTTTTGTATCAATTTTCATGACATATATACATATATATGTATATCATAATCAGTTTTAATCAATGAGAGAATAGAAAATTAAGGTGTTATTTCAATATAAGAATAGATCTTTTGTTGAATGAGTGAGAGAGAAAATTCATTTTCATAAACAATGACCACTTGTATATACCAACTTCTGGTGCCACCACATACTGATTAATCTTTCGTTTATGCTCTATTGCACATTTCGATATACAAAATGAAATGAATGATACTCTGGAGAATTCGTTTATAATAATAATGATGTAACATACATTCAATTTTTTTTTTCTTTCTTGAATGACCTTGTTGAACTTCTTTTTTTTTTCTATAAAAAAAAGAAAAAGAAATAATTTGAAATATGTAAACGAAAAACAAGAAGATGAAGATGGATCTATCATTATTCTTTCCGGTTCATAACTGGCGACATCATTTATTATTATTATTACTTTTTCATTTAAATGACAGTATGACAAAAGTAACAAAGCGTTAAAGTCACGTAATCATCATCAGTCTGCTGCCTTTTTCTTTTACTTTGATAAGAAATCAAAAAGAAATGAAGTGTTATTCTCTCATTAAGAAATATAGATAAAAAATTCTTTTAGGCATATTCAAATTAATGTTGACAGTTGTGTGAATACTTAATGATAGGAAATAAATTAAATAATTTTCTTTAAAACATCAGAATAAGTTATCATAATATCAGGAGTGACGTTCTTCCGCTTTCTCTTTATGTTTTAATATTGAAAAATTCTCGTTTAACATATTTTTTCTAGAATTTTATTTAGTAAATTTAAATGTTTGATAATCTTTATGATAATTGATGTAATTTCTTTTTTTATATAAATGTAAAAACTTTGAATATATATATATATATATAGGCCATGTATTGAACTAGAACTTTGATACATATGTTGTAATTGACACAATACATGAGCATGTTGATTTCTATAACTGATTAACTTTTTTGTCAAATAGTTAATGATCATGAATGAACATAATTGTAGCTGTCGATATGCATTTACGATTGATATTATTGATATATGACCTTTTGTTTTTTAAACAACATTTTATATTTAATTCTTTAACTGTTGAATTTTAAACTTTTAGAAATTTACAGATATTTAAGGATAATACAAAATTTTTGTGGCAAATATATTTTATTATTTTTTATTTCAAAACTTGTTAGAATTTCTTTAAAACATAATCAAATATTTTTTTAGAATCTTCAGAAAGTGAATCAAATTTAGGAGAATTTCTGAAAAGACTCTATGTATATACACCGCAAACGATTGTACTTGTGCGTATTACTGTTATCTAGAGAGAGTGTTACAATCAATGTAGAATCGATACAGAGTATACAAAGAAGATATAGTTAAACAATTTTATTCTTCATATTTTCCATAAAAATTGCTTTGATGAATATATTCGTCAATAATAGTTTCAAGGATTAAAATATTTTCGAAACTTATTCATTATTTTTAAATATTAATATACAAATTTTTTTTTTACTTCTATGCAATAATTCGATGAAAACTGTAACGAAAGTTGTTTGTTTTTTTTTTATAGAACAATCGAAGATAAAAAAAAACAAAGAATTTCATCAATCTTTAACAATATTACGAAAGATAGTTTTATATAAAAGCATTGCAAAAATATTTTTTATTAAAACAAAAAAAAAAAACAAACACTCGAAATATTACAATAGAAAATGAGTCAAAATAATCATTTATCTTCATTGGATATTGATAAAATTATTCAACGTTTTGACAAACCAGATGTCGTTCAAGCATTAATACTTACAGGTAGTTATGCACGTAATCAAGCTGGTCCAAATAGTGATATTGATCTTGTACGTTTTGTTATTTCTGGAGCAAAATTATCAGATGATGGAACATATTTTCATGAGAAAAAAACACTTATTACAATATTAACAGTAGAACCAGATGAATATGAAAAATGGTTTATTGATCCTTATCAAGCTACAAAATGGATAGCAGGAATACGAGTAGCACGTGCAATTATAGATCGTAAAGATTTTTTTACTAATGGATTACAAATTCGTGCTCGTAATTTTATTTGGGATACGACAATACAAAATCATGCTAATATTGAAGCTAGTCGTCGAATGGTTGGTTGGTGTGAAGAAACAAATAAAGGTTTAGAAGGTCTTCGACGTAATAATGATATTGGTCGTTTACTTAATGCATGCCATGGATTATCATGGGGTCTATCAGAAGTTATACAAATTCAACGTGGTGTATTAGTATCTAGTGATAATAATGTTTTTAGTGAAATTGAATTAGCATTAGGTAATAATACACAAATGATTAAACTTCATCGTATTGTATTTGGAGTTATAGGAAATTATACATTACAACAACGTGTTATTGCTGGATTACAATTATTTGTATTACTTACTGAACAAATGTCGAATATTTGGCAAGCAAATGATATTGAAATTATTAAACATACTGCTAATCAAATACGTAATTTTGTTCCGAATCTTTTTTTAGAAAATTTTTTAAATGAATAAATATCAAAAGTTTATCATATCATAATTGCAAGTAAAAAAAAATAGAGAAACAACTCAACCCATGAAAAAATTAATACACATGTTTTTTATTAATCAAGTAAAACAAAAATGCCAGATGATATTCGGTAGAAATTACTAACATTCTAGTTCTATATAGGAAAATATTTATGATGAAGATGCATCTAACTGATTCATTACGAATCTTTCATTAGATATATATATATATTCATCACAAAATATCAAAGAGAATCAGTTGAAAATGATAGGTGAAATGGTAAAAGAAGAAATCTTATGAGAAATTTATAATAAATTTTTATCCAGATAATAGAATCATAGAATTTCTTTTTTTGTATGTGTGTGTAATATCGATTAATACTTATGTTTATTTGGAAAATTAAACAAGATGTTATTTAATGTTTCTTATTACTTGCCGATGTAAGAAATCAATAATATAAAAATATATTTGCCGGACTAATTGTTAAACGTTTGATAATTGACGATCGTATCACATGGGACTTTTCGAATTGTTTTTTAATATTTAGATATATTCTTTCGTATTCTTCGATTAAATATGTAAAGGAAGATATTTTTTTTTTTTTTTTGATGATGATAATAAAAAGAAAATATAAAAATTATTATTTGTCATAATATATAAAGAATGATAAAGAATTAGTTTGTATTTTCTAATGTTCTATTTTTAGAAAAGTTTGCGTATATCTCTATTTGATCCGTGCTTTAGAATTAATTCTGTTGATAGATACTAAATAATAAATGTTGAGACGTGCGTCAAAGACTAGTTATCATGATTAACTTTCAAAACTAGAATTAAAACTATTTATTTGACGTTTATCATTACAGATGAGTAATATAGAAATGATTAAGCATAACAAGACA